CCATCCCTGGAGGTGTTCAAAAGACAGGTTGATGTAGTGCTGGGAGGTATGGTTTAGTGATGGTGATGCTCCTTGTTTGTTGTGTGGGTGTCTATTTTTGTCAGTCAGGTTGACGGTTGGACAAGATGATCTTTAAGGTCCCTTCCAACCTAGAAGATTCTGTGATTCTGTGACCTTGGTCCTCCAGGCCATGCCCTCCTCCAGGCTGGCAAACCTAGTTTTTCGAGTCATACATTAACACGGTTTCCGTTGTTTTGCTCAGAACTCTTTAATTTTCAGGCTCGGAGCAGTCTTTGGGCCCTACACGCAGCCTTCGCCGGCAGAGTACTGGGACATGTGGACAGCGGTGCGGACTAACGATGGCAATCTCGTTGTGGACAGGTTCGTTGGTGTTAATTGCTTCATGACCTTGGTTTTACACCCATGGCATCGCTCTGTTTGCAGGCAGGGTCATACCATGGCTCGGAGGTCACTGGAGCTCAGCCAGGTCCTTGGACACTGGTCCCTCGGAGCCTCCAACTGCTTCTGTTGGGGTCTGGAATCATTATTGCACCCCCAAAAAAAAGAGCTGGGGTGTGATGTAGGTGCAGGGATTCTTGCTGGGATGATGCAAGGCAGGAAAATGAAGTCTGGAATTGAGGGGATCCGAGCCTGTGCACAGTGGGAGAAGGACAAGGCTGGGGATGTACAATGTAGGGTGTTTTTTTTTTGTCTTCTTTGGAAATTCGGGGATTAAATTTATGTAGTTTTGTTAACAACTGGAGCTAAATCTGGTTTTCTCCAGTTTGGGACTTGGGGTCTGGAATCATTATTGCACCCCCAAAAAAAAGAGCTGGGGTGTGATGTAGGTGCAGGGATTCTTGCTGGGATGATGCAAGGCAGGAAAATGAAGTCTGGAATTGAGGGGATCCGAGCCTGTGCACAGTGGGAGAAGGACAAGGCTGGGGATGTACAATGTAGGGTGTTTTTTTTTTGTCTTCTTTGGAAATTCGGGGATTAAATTTATGTAGTTTTGTTAACAACTGGAGCTAAATCTGGTTTTCTCCAGTTTGGGACTTTTGGAGTGGTTGTGGGTTGAGTATCCCTGGTTAGTGAGGATCCTGTGTGTGTGTCCCCTTCTCCCCCGGTGTTCAAACTTCTCTCCCCTCCCACTGGGAAAATCTCTGGATAAATCACAGTAAGGACCAAATAGCTCAACCCCTCCAAAGGGCGGTCACTAATTGCCTCTTTTAACGAGGGACACTCCCCCGAGCCCAGCAATGGACACACACCTGACACACTGCCCACTTGGCAAGTCCCATTCCTGGCAAATTCTTGCAGTGTCACCTTTTGTGACACCAGCAGCGCAGCCGTGGTGGGAAGCTCAGTGCCAAAATAGCCCCAGCCCCTTAAAAGTCACGTGTCAGAGTATCAGTAGGTTTATTTAGCGTGGCTTCCCCTCCTTGGAAGGCTTTTTATAACCCAACTTCTTGAACCCGAGAGCTGGGCCGAGTCACTCCGAGCTGCTGGGTGATGAGACAGGCTGAGGAGCCTTTAGCAGTTTGGATTTTTCACTTTTAAGACCCAACCAGTGCAATTTATCTTCTCCTGGAGAAGATAAATTATACTTCTGGAGTATATTCCTCCACACTCAGTAGTTGAGCACTGAGTCCTCTTCTGCAGGGCACAGGAATAGTTTCAGAGCTGCTGCACCACCGGAGAGCCAAGCATGGGAGTGCTCAGACAGCACTGCCTCTGCATCAGCTTTTAGCAGGCTGATTTCTACCCTGTTTTTATCAGTAGGTTTATTTAGCGTGGCTTCTCCTCCTTGGAAGGCTTTTTATAACCCAACTTCTTGAACCTGAGAGCTGGGCTGAGTCACTCCAAGCACGGATTAAATTTATGTAGTTTTGTTAACAACTGGAGCTAAATCTGGTTTTCTCCAGTTTGGGACTTTTGGAGTGGTTGTGGGTTGAGTATCCCTGTTTAGTGAGGATCCTGTGTGTGTGTCCTTCTCCCCCAGAGTTCAAACTTCTCTCCCCTCCCACTGGGAAAATCTCTGGATAAATCACAGTAAGGACCAAATAGCTCAACCCCTCCAAAGGGCGGTCACTAATTGCCTCTTTTAACGAGGGACACTCCCCCGAGCCCAGCAATGGACACACACCTGACACACTGCCCACTTGGCAAGTCCCATTCCTGGCAAATTCTTGCAGTGTCACCTTTTGTGACACCAGTAGCGCAGCCGTGGTGGGAAGCTCAGTGCCAAAATAGCCCCAGCCCCTTAAAAGTCACGTGTCAGAGTATCAGTAGGTTTATTTAGCGTGGCTTCCCCTCCTTGGAAGGCTTTTTATAACCCAACTTCTTGAACCCGAGAGCTGGGCCGAGTCACTCCGAGCTGCTGGGTGATGAGACAGGCTGAGGAGCCTTTAGCAGTTTGGATTTTTCACTTTTAAGACCCAACCAGTGCAATTTATCTTCTCCTGGAGAAGATAAATTATACTTCTGGAGTATATTCCTCCACACTCAGTAGTTGAGCACTGAGTCCTCTTCTGCAGGGCACAGGAATAGTTTCAGAGCTGCTGCACCACCGGAGAGCCAAGCATGGGAGTGCTCAGACAGCACTGCCTCTGCATCAGCTTTTAGCAGGCTGATTTCTACCCTGTTTTGCAGAAAAAAATCAGCTTTTTTTTTTTGCTGAGCAAGTGGGGATTTTGCCAAGGGGGCTTGGGAGTAATCAACCTTTCAGTGCCCATTTGCTGGCTGCCTGCAGCCCCCTGTGACTTATTGCACCACCTGGGACAAGGATTATAATGATTCACCCCCTTTTCCTACCCAGTGGCATTTGACTGGGAGCAGAGGACCCAAATTTGCTTCCAGCTCAGCTGGGAAGGATTCAAACCTCCTCTTCTCCAGATTATGGGCTGTTTCCTCCTTCCTAAATGAACTTGGATTGTCCTCCAGCAGGACTCTGGACTTTGCACTTAAAGCACAGAGCTGGCAGGGGTGAGACCTACAGTCAGTGTCCCAACCTCATTTGCACTTTAATTTGCTGACTATCTAAATAAATAAAACCCAACTTGGGCAGTTGGCTAAGCTCACAGATGATCAACAGACTGATTTTTGTCTTGCTGCTGCCCCGGGGAGGCTGTTTGTAGGAGATCCAGATTTCACCCAAGAGCCAATTTCCAGGCTGTGCAGCACCTGGAGGCACCATCCGCCGCGTAACAAGAGGTTTCTCTTCAGTATTTTGCAGTACATAAACCAGAGAAAGAAGCACAGAGACCGCTGGGTTGGGGCTTTGACCTCCACCTCTGTCCCATGTGAGTAGGAATGGGTTTTCTTTGATTGACTGGTGGGGATGTTGGGAATCCCCTGCAGGTGCTGGAGCGTGGTGCTGGCTCCTTCCACTTATGGTTGGAGCTTCTTGTTGTTATTTTCACAGAATCACAGAATTTTCATGGTTGGAAGGGACCTTTGAGATCATCGAGTCCAACCACATACACACAAAAAAACCCCCAACCTCCCCCCCAAAAAAAAAACCTCAAACAAACACAAAACACCCAACCCAACAATCTTGAGCACTAGATCATGCCCTGAAGAGCCATGTCTACACGTTTCTTAAATCCCTCCAGGGATGGTGACTCCACCACCTCCCTGGGCAGGCTGTTCCAGTGCCTGGCCACTCTCTCAGGAAAGTAATTCTTCCTAATATCTAATCTAAACCTCCCCTGCCCCAACTTGAGATCATTTCCCCTGGTCCTGAATTTTATAGCTATATTAAGATTTCTCAGGGTTTGATGATCAATTTCAGTAAAAGCATATCAAAGTTTGATCAGTTCTTCACTACCTAACACACAAAAAATAATCTGATTATAGGGATTTTGAATCTTTATGGAGAAAAAAGCCTGATTCCATGACATTTGGAACAGAACCGGACACCAATTCCTGATCTACTACCTAACAAAAAACCTAGGAAAATAAATCATCAATTCAGGTCCTTTGCAGAGAATTTGCACCCTATGCAGAGAATAATAAAAGGGCAGATTAAAGGGGAAGCAAAAACCATAGCCCTCGACAGGAGAATCTCCTCCCTTTTCCTATTTCAAATACTTAAAACAAAGTAAATGAGTTGATGAGGACGTGGCTCAAATCTGGTTTGTGCAGGGGGTAGTGTCACAAACGTCCCTGCTCCAGTTTAAGGCTGGGTTAAAGCAGAGCTTTGAGCTTGTTAAGGTAAAAGGAAAGAGGTAACTTTCCTGTAGAGGCTGGTTTACAGCCTCCAGCTTCTCCAGCTGCTGCCCCAGGGAAGCCAAGGTGCTTTTCAAGCTCAAGAGAAGTTGTAGCTGCTCAAGGAAAGGTTTGGTGTTTGCAGGAGGAGGGTTTGGAAGCTGAACTTGACCTCAGGGCAGAGAAGCAAGAGCCCTTTTGGCAGCTGGCTGGCTCCTCCTTGGCTTGATTTAAAGATGTCCTCAGGTATAAAATCTCTGTTTGTGCTTCTCTCTTGCAGTGCATCTCATTTATGGCCCTCTAGACCCTGTGAATCCGCATCCGGAGTTTCTTCAGCTTTACAAGTAAGACCACAGTGGGATTACACACCCGGGGTTTCATTTAGAGGGAGACTTTGTCTCAGACTCTTCCTTCAATTCCCTTTTCATCGAGGCTGTTTTTAATTCCCACCTGTAACAGGTGGGAATTTCTAAACTGATTCAGCAGTTTAGAAATCACTTCCCCACTTCAGGCAACAAAATCACAATTCTCAAACAAATCAATCGTGCATTTTAAAACCACATCAGGCAGCGAAAAAATTTACTGACTGAGGTAGTCTCCTCCAAACTAACTTGAGGTAAATCCAGCACTTGGAAGAGTGGTCAACTCTAGCTGCTACAGGGGCTTTTTAGTGCCAAAACCATGTTGCAGGCAGAATCCCAGCTGTGTAAGAGGACATTGTCCTCCTCACCGGTAGCTGCAGTTCCTGTGCTTAAGCCTTGCTGCGTTCTTCCAACAGGAAGGTGCTTCCCATGTCCACAGTGTCTGTGCTGGACGACCACATCAGCCACTACCCACAGCTGGAGGATCCCACAGGCTTCCTGAACGCGTATCTCAACTTCATCAACTCCGGTAATCTCCTCCAAACTAACTTGAGGTAAATCCAGCACTTGGAAGAGTGGTCAACTCTAGCTGCTACAGGGGCTTTTTAGTGCCAAAACCATGTTGCAGGCAGAATCCCAGCTGTGTAAGAGGACATTGTCCTCCTCACCGGTAGCTGCAGTTCCTGTGCTTAAGCCTTGCTGCGTTCTTCCAACAGGAAGGTGCTTCCCATGTCCACAGTGTCTGTGCTGGACGACCACATCAGCCACTACCCACAGCTGGAGGATCCCACAGGCTTCCTCAACGCGTATCTCAACTTCATCAACTCCTTCTGAGCTGCTGCAGCTCCGTTCTCACCATTTACGAGTCAGACTTCGGGGGCTGGAAGAAACCTTGATTTTTATTTTTATTTTTTTTTCAATCTCCAGATCTAACAGTTTGCACTAACTCTCTCATCTTTGGCTGCCAAACTGCTGCCTTTATGCAGAAAAAGTTAGCCTGCAGGGAGGCATGGACAAAACTGTCAACTTAAGTAGAGCTACAGGATGGAGACAGCTCTTCCAGGCTTCTGCTCACCTTGGCCTTGTCTTTGTATTTAGATCCAGGAGGGCTCCAGGGAGAAGAGGGGAGGCAAAAGTCCTTACTTGCCTTTCCTGCTGGCTACGTGCCACAGGTAGACAGGTCCACGGAATCACGTGAGGTTGGAAGGGACCTCTAGAGATCATCTAGTCCAACCCCTGCCAAAGCAGGTCCACCCAGAGCAGGTTGCACAGGAACGTGTCCAGGTGGGGTTTGAATGTCTCCAGAGAAGGAGACCCCACCACCTCTCTGGGCAGCCTCTTCCAGGGCCCTGACACCCTCAAAGTGAAGAAGTTCCTCCTCATGGTGAGATGGAACTTCTCATGTTCAAGTTTGTGCCCGTTTCCTCTTGTCCTGTCGCTGGGAACCACTGAAAAAAAGACCAGCCCTGTCCTCCTGACACCCACCCTTGAAGTATTTAGAGGTGTTGATCAGATCCCCCCTCAGCCTTCTCTTCTCCAGACTGAAAAAAACCCAAGTCCCTCAGGCTCTCCTCATCAGAGAGATGCTCCAGGCCCCTCATCACCTTTGTAGCCTCTGCTGTCCCCTCTCCAGCAGTTCCCTGTCCTTCTGGAACTGGGGAGCCCAGAACTGGACCCAGTGCTCCAGCTGGGGCCTCACCAGGGCAGAGCAGAGGGGCAGGATGACCTCCCTCCACCTGCTGGCCACGCTCTTCTTGATGCCCCCCAGGATATCATTGGCCTTCTTGGCCACAAGAGCACATTGTCAGCTTATGGTCATCCTATTGTCCACTAGGACTAAGGTGTCCTATTGTCCACTAGCAGCCAAAGGTTGATGTCCTTATACCCAAGATGAATGTTGATTTGGTTTGGAGTTGCTGCACAGGCAGTTTAAATTCTATCCTTCTACTAAGGGTTGTAAGTCCTGAAGAATTTGGAACTGAATAAATGCAACAGGAGAGCTGGATCTGTCATCCTCCAAACCACGGGCAGCGATGCTCTGCTGTATCTACACCCATAAGGGGGCAATTAGTCTTCACTAATCTCTTTTTAATGGCCAGTTACCCTAAGGAAAGCTCTAAACTTGAAGTTTTTCCCACATCCCTTATTCCTCTGATTTTTCACTTCAAGAAGCAGAGTCACTCACTGCCACTACACCCTTGGGACTGTCTCAGGAGCTTCCCCAAAGAGCAAGTCGAATATGCAATACTGGCACTAGCAAAAGCCAAGGTGTTCTTCTGCAGCAATAGCTGTTCCAGCCACAGGGAGCTGGGATGGGTGGTTAAATTTTACCACTAAACCAGTATTTCTTCCTTCCTCACCCTGACTTGAGAACCAAAAGAAACAATTCATCAGCAGAGAGATGCAGAACTTCCCTCACAAGGAAGTCACCACAAGGTCTCTCCTCTGGGCTGTAACATCATCTGACACAAGGATCAGAGAACTGAATATACCTCAACAGGTGAAGTTTAAGGTCTCTCCTCTGGGCTGTAACATCATCTGACACAAGGATCAGAGAACTGAATATGCCTCAACAGGTGAAGTTTAATCTCTCTCTCTCTGTACGTTGATTTTTCTGTGTGGAACAGAGGAGACAATAATCAAGAAACTGTAAATTTGCAGGTTAGAAGATTCTGCAGGTTTTGTGTGGGTTTTTTAACTGCTTCTGTTTGAAATTTAATAGCATCCCTTTAGGAATAAGGGGGTTTTGCTGAGTAAACAGCCATTATAGGCTACTTTTTCTGTACCCAAGCCGAGAGAATTAGAACAAGAAATTTCTATTTTATTAACAGCAATTCATACGAATTCCACTACTTCGACCAGTGTTTATTTTCTGTTAATAAAAATCAGTTTTGACAAAAGTCTGATTCCATTTTCTTAACCACCTGCATCTTTTTATATCTTCCCTGCTCTACCCCAAGTGGCCAGAGACGCAATAAGTTAGAAGGGAATGTGTTAAGTGACAACGAGGGAAGGGACAGGAGAAGGGCTCAGTACCAACCCAGCCACTACTGTAACATCATACAAAATATTTACCAAATTGAGGAATAAAAAAAAACTACATGCAGAAGGACAGACAAGGCTGCTCGATACCCAAGAGCCGCTTTGCAAAGGTTTCCACCGCGGTCCACGCGCCGGTAACGCTCAGCCTACGGAAGCCAGGATGACATCTACGGGGGTTTCTTCTCTGCTCCTCACTGTCACCTGCATGGTCACACCATTTCCGAGCGCGAGCCTGGACCTCACCAACACATCGCAGCCACCTCTGTATACACCTGGAGGACAACACAACACTTGAGCCATTGCTCTAAGAGAGGATCAGAGATCTAGTCCCAATCCAGGAGCCAACAACTTGGTGAGACCAAGACACGTTCACTCTGTGAGCGGTTGCAGAAAGGGAGGAAACAACTGAACAACAAAACCAAGCCACTAAACCACCAGAATAAGAGAATGATGGGGTTGGAAGGGACCCCTGGAGACCACCTAGTCCAACCCCCTGTGAGAGCAGGTCCCACAGGAACATGTCCAGAGGGGTTTTGAATGTCTCTAGAGATGGAGACTCCACCACCTCTCTGGGCAGCCTCTTCCAGGGCTCTGCCATCCTCACAGGAAAGAAGTTCCTCCTTGTGTTTAGATGGAACTTCTGTTCCAGTTTGTGCCCGTTCCCCTCTTGTCCTGTCACTGGGCACCACTGAAAAAAGACCAGCCCCATCCTCCTGACACCCACCCTTTAAGTATTTATAGGCATTGATCAGATCCCTAAATCCTCTAAGCTCTTGAAGCCAAGACTGAAGATAACAGATACTGCCCTAATTAATCAGTGAGCAAGTGCTGCTGGAGGGTTGGGCTGAGTGAAAGAGGTGAAAACCAGAAAATTGTTAGCTGAAGCTCACTGCCAGTTTGAGAAGGCAACACATGTCATTCTGCCATGAAGGCACAGTCCATTGGCCTCAACTGCCCTTGAGGGAGAAATAGTCCTCCTATGATTTACTAGTCTGGTTGGAAGTGGTGCTCCTGGAGACAATTCAGACTGCAAGAGAAGCCATCTCCAGTCCCACTTTGACATCACTATGCAGACCTGGAGTTACTGATTTTTTTTCCCCATGAAATAAATTGAGATCCAGCCCTTCTGTCAGACCCCTCTGTGCCATGTTCACTGCACTTTGGCTTTAACAACTGCAAAAAAATTCTGTAGAGCACTTCCAGGGCTTGCCCCAAACTGTAAGCCTGGAGCACGGTCACCAAACAAGAAGTCACTTCAGGATGTGTCTTTAGTGACAGGAACTTGAAAACAAGATGGTTCTAGGAACCCCCTTTTGAGATAAAAACTGGGAAAGAATTTAATTAGGTGTCTGCTCTGGAAGTTCTTCAAAAGATTCACTACCATTCCCATAGGTAGGACATCTCCATTCCAAGAGACACATGAAACAGCAGGCTCTAAATTAGCACCAGCTGCTTTCAATTCACTGGTTCACTTTAGAGAAAATAAAAATCTCTATACAAGAGCAGAATCTCCTTCCATTTAAATAAAAATCTGTGGGGACAGGGAACCGTGGAGTTCAGCAGCAGGAATACTTACCAGCTAAGTAGAGCGTGTGAGAATTTTTGTTCTCTGGCACTTTATCTGATCTCTCGCAGGGCTGCATGCCCAGGAACTTGATGATGTTATTGACAGCTTCTGCATTCAGAGATTGAAGAAGAAAATTACCTCCAGAAAATTGCTTTCTGTGAGAATTAGTTCGCTATTAAAAAACAAACATTCTCTTCACCGGTGTGGTTCAACCATTTCCATTCATTATCTTGGTTGCATCCCATCAACACACCTACTTTGCCACGTCCCTTCCAACAGCCTAAAAATTCACCCCTCCTTTCAACCAGCCTCAAGCAATCACAGAATCACAGAATCTTCTAGGTTGGAAGGGACCTCAAAGATCATCTTGGCCAACCGTCAACCTGACAAAAATAGACACCCACACAACAAACAAGGAGCATCATCACTAAACCATACCTCCCAGCACTACATCAACCTGTCTTTTGAACACCTCCAGGGATGGTGCCTCAACCACCTCCCTGGGCAGCCCATTCCAATGCCTGAGAACCCTTTCAGTGAAAAAATTTTTCCTAATATCCAGCCTGAACCTCCCCTGGCGTAACTTGAGGCCATTTCCTCTCATCCTGTCGCCTGTGACTTGGAGAAGAGACCGACCCCCACCTCTCTACACCCTCCTTTCAGGGAGTTGTAGAGAGCAATAAGGTCTCCCCTCAGCTTCCTCTTCTCCAGGCTGAACACCCCCAGCTCCCTCAGCCTCTCCTCATAAGACTTATTCTCCAGACCCCTCACCATCTTTGTTGCAATCCCGAACTTCCACTCCCTATAATCCCAACTTTCCAGCGCAAAGCTGGGACGTAACATCACATGGGAAGGCACCAAATTCTCTTCCTACCACCCTAAATATATCCCCAGCGTGGCAGATTTACTGGGATTACTGTATGGGCCACCAATGAACAAGGAGAGATCATCTCACCGTCAAGGGTTTTAATGGAACTAAGAGCAAAGGTTTCTTCTTTCTCAAAGTCATCTCCCACTTCTTCCCAGGCGGCCGCGAAGTTTGGCTTTAAAACCTTCTGAATGTGGTCGGACACGGTCACCTCCAAATCTTCCAACTGACAGAAAAGCAAGGGAGAGTTTCAGCTGCCAGTTACAGAAACAGTCCAAATCTCAGAAAGGGAAAGAAGAGGAGAAACAACAGCATTTTGCCAAAATAACTCTGGTGCCTGGCTTTAATTTCAGGAGAAGCACATCATAATAACAACATCTAAAAAGCAGAGAGGAAAAATAGTATTTATGGTGGCCATCTCTAAAGATAAAGACATTGACATAAAAACAGCGACACTAAAAGAAAGCAAGAAGTGGTGCAATCACTTTGTGAGTCAAAGCCCATTCTACCCATTCCTGAGCACCTGAGGAGAGAGACTTTCTCAGGATCCAGAAGGAGCCTTTACATCCTCCAAGCCCAAAAGATGGGCACTTTCCTGAGATATGACTTGTATTTCCATGATTGAGAACATGAACACAATAAAGAGAACCGCAAAGGTTTGGGATGGAAACATCGGGCCAGAGTTCTGAAAACAAACAATGGAAGGTCTTCCTTCCTTCCTAGGATCACAGGATGGTTTGGGTTGGAAGGGACCTTAAAGATCATTCAGTTCCAACCCCCTGCCCTGGGCAGGGACACCTCCCACCACACCAGGTTGCTCCAAGCCCCATCCAGCCTGGCCTTGAACCCCTCCAGGGATGGGGCAGCCACAGCTTCTCTGGCCAACCTGGGCCAGGCTCTCATCACCTCCACAGCAAACAAGTTCTTCCCCACAGCTCATCTCCATCTCCCCTCTTTCAGTGTCAAACCCTTCCCCTTCCTCCTGTGGTTCCCCTCCCTCATGAAGAGTTCCTCCCCATCTCTCCTGGAGCCCCTTGAGGGACTGGCAGGCTGCTGTAAGGTCCCCCTGGAGGCTTCTCTTCTCCAGGCTGAACCCCCCCAACTCTCTCAGCCCCCCCTCCCAGCAGAGGGACTCCAGCCCTCCCAGCATCTTCACGGCCTCCTCTGGACCTGTTCCAACAGCTCCATGTCTCTCCTGTGCTGAGGACTCCAGAGCTGGACACAGTATTCCAGGTGTGGTCCCACCAGAGCAGAGGGGTAGAATCACCTCCCTTGACCTGCTGTCCCCACAAATCCTATCTTCATAGAGCAATAAGTTAAAATAACCTTTGACAGAAGGATCTAAAGGTACAATCTTTAGTATTTCGGAAATGGTGTTTTGGGCAGGCCTGATGTTCTCTCCTACTGGCTTCAGATCCAGAAGAAAACTGTCAACCCAATGGCTACTGAATTTCACTGAATTTTTAGAGTTGGAAGGGACCATAGAGATCATCTAGTCCAACTCCCCTGCCAAAGCAGGACCACCCAGAGCTTGTCAGAGCATGTTACTCAGGAGCATCCAGGCGGGTCTTGAAAATCTCCAGAGAAGGGGACTCCACACCCTCCCTGGGCAGCCTGTTCCAGGGCTCCGTCACCCTCACCGTGAAAAAGTTCTTCCTCATATTCAAGTGGAACCCTTGATGTTCCAACTTGTGCCCATTGCCCCTTGTCCTCTCACTGGGAACCACTGAAAAGAGTCTGGTTCCCTCCTCCCTCAGCCCGCCCTTGAGATCCTTGTAGGCATTAATAAGGTCTCCCCTCAGCCTTCTCTTCTCCAGACTAAAGAGTCCCAGCTCTTTCAGCCTCTCCTCATAAGGGAGATGCTCCAGTCCTTGAATCATCTTTGTTGCCCTACGCTGGACTCTTTCCAGTAGTTCCCTGTCTCTCTTGAACTGGGGAGCCCAGAACTGGACGCAGTATTCCAGTTGTGGCCTCACCAGTGCAGAGCAGAGGGGGAGAATGACCTCCCTTGACCTGCTGGCCACACTCTTCCCTATGCAGCCCAGGGTTCCGCTGGCCCTCCTGGCCACAAGAGCACATTGTTTGCTCATTGTCATTTTACTGTCCACCAGGACCCCCAGATCCTTTTCTTCAGTGTATTCCAAATTAGTAACAAGGACAAAAAAGCAATCCTGAACTTACCACATACTCATCATCATAGCCATCATCTTCTGGCACACCTGTGTTCGGGTCACAGTCTCGAACAGTGAACTTCATCGTGCAACTGAAAGTACAAGCAACTGGGGAGAAGAAGAAAAGCCAGTACAGGTTAGTGGTGCACTTTCTTCTCCTTGAAGCCCACCCCCTTCCCAAAAAGGGACCGGAAAGAACGTGCGTTAGATTTGCCCGAAAAGATACAACACGGTCACAGGCAGATCATTTTTCAGCTTTACATAAAATTTCCCCCCAAACTCTAAGGTGAATGGCAAAAGAGGGTCCCAGAGGAGGAATATTCCAAGGCCAGGGTGCAACAAGCCCAGGGCCCCTGACTCAGGGTGTTGCAGTGGGCATTGGCTCCCTCTCATTGAAGCCCACCCCCCTTCCCAAAAAGGGACCGGAAAGAACGTGCATTAGATTTGCCCGAAAAGATACAACATGGTCACAGGCAGATCATTTTTCAGCTTTACATAAAATTTTCCCCCAAACTTTAAGGTGAAGGGCAAAAGAGGGTCCCAGGGGAGGAATATTCCAAGGCCAGGGTGTAACAACCCCAGGGCCACTGATTCAGGGTGTTGCAGTGAGATCCAGTGGGCATTGGCTCCAGGGAGAAACTCTGCAAGGGTTTATGGCAAGTGGATTTATGATCCAAAAACCACAGTTCAAGGAATTCAGGCTCGTTCTAATCTTCTCTGGTATAAAGCCATAACCAGTGAATCCACCCCACTGATGAAGTGAGTCATGTGAGACCAACTGCAAATCCAGTGGAGTTTCTTTTAAGCATGAAGAATAAAAAACAAGAAAGGGGAAGTTTTATGCCCAAGAAAAATCTCTCATTCCTAAATTTCATAGTGATTTTTCATCTCTTTCGAGAATTATAAATGACATTAGCCAGATTATATAAAGGACCAAACTACCAATCTTTTTTTTTCTTCCCTACACGTATTTTCTTTTGACCAATTCTGTTCCTGACTTCTAACAACAACCATCCGTGTTTTCAAGGGTGCTCCTCTCATTGTCTCAAGATAATAAATTCATTTTTCTGCATTACCTGCACACTCCCCAATCCTCTTAAACATCCCATTTTTCCTCATCCAATACCCTGATTAGTTAAAAAGTGTGTCTACCATTTTACACAGGTTCTACACAAAAACCAGCACACGTGACACGGGACAAAGAAACAGCCCCAGAACCTCAGCACGCACTCGCCAAATTTCACACCCTAGACATTTTAGCATCTTAATTTGAGGGATTTGTTGTGCAGAGCTATTTCCCCCCAGAGGGTACCTGCAGTGGGGTCATCCTGGGGAATGTGGACCAGGGTGTAGCACATGCCAGGCTGGTTGTAAGCCAGGCTGGGCGCTGGGATGCAACAGATCACGTCGTAAGCGTCCGATGGCTCCATCTGCACCGTGACTCTCTCCAACAGCTGATCATTTAATGTGTTTGTGCAATCAAACTGCATAAGAATACATTGAAAAGGACTTAAGTGTAGAAGAAATATTTCTACCCGAGGATTTTTCCCCAAATTAGCTACAATACTCCTCAGCAGACATCCCGCGCCTTCGATCAAGCCCACCGTTCTGACTAAACGGCTTTTCTCTCTAATTTTACTAGAATTTTTTAATTGATGGGGTCATAATTAACAGGTGCAGCAGAGGGCCACGAAGATGATCAGAGGGATGGAGCACCTCTCCTATGAAGACAGGCTGAGGGAGCTGGGATTGTTCAGCCTGGAGAAGAGAAGGCTCCGGGGAGACCTTATAGCGGCCTTTCAATACCTGAAGGGTGCCTATAGAAGAGCTGGGGAGGGACTCTTTGCCAGGAGGTGTAATGATAGAACTAGGGGAAACGGTTTCAAATTGGAAGAAAAAAGATTCAGATTAGATCTCAGGAAGAAATTTTTTACTCTGAGGGTGGTGAGACACTGGAACAGGTTGCCCAGGGAAGTTGTGGCTGCCCCATCCCTGGAGGGGTTCAAGGCCAGGCTGGATGTGGCCTTGAGCAACCTGCTCTAGTGGGAGGTGTCCCTGCCCATGGCAGGGGGGTTGGAACTAGATGATCTTTGAGGTCCCTTCCAACCCAAACCATTCTATGATTCTATAACCTCCATCTTTTTTTTTTTTTTTTTTGACTGTTGAGCCCACACCCTCTTAACTCTACCCTGCAACTCCCTGAAGAGAGAAACCCCCCTCTTCAGGGCACAGCGACGACACTATTTATGCTACACCCAGGCATCATTAAGATCCAACTCCTATTGCACCCTGGCAAAAGCACAGAACTCCTCTTACCTGGAAAACGATGTGGTTTGTGAACACGTGTTTAATACAACGAACAAAATACTCCGTTTCCGCTTCCGTGAGTTGCACCGGTTCCGAAGACTTGAATAAGGGACCCAAGCTCTTAAATTCTGGAATGGCTGCTAGTTGTTCTGGAAAAAAGAAAAGGAAGGGGAAAAGAGATGGCAGACACTTAGTGACATCTCGCTCCCTCCTGACCTGTTGCAATCCTCCTTGAGTTTCAAATTCTGGAGACCCAGCTGATCTTCTCTCCTACCTTGGAATATATCCTGACGTGAAGGAGCAACTTTCTCGGGTTTGCTGGTCACCAGGGCAATCTCTGGGAAGAGAAAAAGCAAAGACATCGTGCTGTCAACTACACCGGGCAGGAGTTTTAAATGCCTTTCTCTCTCCACTCAAATTATTCTTTAACATGTAGATTTTCACACATTCTGCTGCAAAACTTTACCAGTTTGGTTCCTCACACACCCCAAAGTATTTTTTTCTCCTAGGCAATGTTGGATTGTGAGGAGAGAAGAGGAGAGATGTTCAAGTAATGATGAAGAAACCCTGCTTTAGTCCAGGATAGTCAGAAAAAAAGCTGGAAGAAGAAGAGGGGGAAAAAAAATAATCCCCCAACTTTTAAAGAAAAAGTTGTGCAAGATCATGGAAAAAAGCCAATGAGGTGAATTAAATGCTTCTAGACTCTACTTTTTGAGAGAAGAGGAGAGATGTTCGAGTAATGATGAAGAAACCCTGCTTTAGTCCAGAATAGTCAGAAAAAAAGCTGGAAGAAGAGGGGGAAAAAAAATTATCCCCCAACTTTTAAAGAAAAAGTTGTGCAAGATCATGGAAAAAAGCCAATGAGGTGAATTAAATGCTTCTAGACTCTACTTTTTGCAGCCATCTATGAACCAATAAATGCTGATGTACAAACTCCTCTCTGATAAAAAGGTTAGCAGAAGGAATGATGACATTCTTGCCAACCCACATTCCTTCAGAAGAGGCTCTGTCTTTCTTTATCTGGAAGGATCAGGCTTGTTTCTGCAGAGCCAGTGACACTGTCACCTGTATGGCATTTGGCTGAGTCCCCTCTGGTCTTGGCCTGACCCTACCAGGACAGCAGCCAGTTTACAGATGTCAAATATCACTGTGGCAACTGGAATCCTTACAGCCTTGCCCACAGCCTATTTAAAATTTATCAAGGAGTGTAGTGACAGGACAAGGGGGAACGGTTTTAAACAAAGAGGGAAGATTGAGATGAGATCTCAGGAAGAAATTCTTTAGTGTGAGGGTGGTGAGACACCGGCCCAGGTTGCCCAGAGAAGCTGTCCCATCCCTGGAGGGGTTCAAGGCCAGGTTGGACAGGGCTTGGAGCAATGTGGTCTGGTGGGAGGTGTCCCTGCCCATGGCAGGAGGGTTGGAACTGGATGATCTTTAAGGTCCCTTCCAACCCAAACCATTTTATGATTCTGTGATTCTAAATGAAGCCCAAGTATCACCTGCTTTCTGCTCAAAGATTGGTGCAGTAGCCAGTGGAACTGTTTTCATATCAAAAGGTTTGTCTGAAGGCTCCAGTGTATATTGATGCAGGGCTTTCTCCATGCCAGGAACAGAGACAGTCAACCCTGAAAAGCAGAAGCACAGGCAGAAAATTTCAGTTTTAACAGCAGGAAGAGTCAGAGGCCTACAGGAACTGCAACCCAGCACAAATTTTGGATCGTCCACTGCACTAAAAGCAACAAGTTGCAAGAATCTGAAAAGCTTCAATTTTAATTGCCTCCCTCTTGACATATAAACAAGGGAAGTTATTTAAAGGGCTCTTCCCTGTAGACATCGGCTCAGGCTGCAGAGAAAAACCCTTGAGGAATCTAGAATTTACAGCCAGACAGATATTGTTTGGACTTTGGTTAATGAAAAACTTGTAAAAGCACTTCCCTGTCTCAGTAAACACAAAATACACGGTAAGTACTTCAAGATACTGGGTAGGTAAAAAAAAACCCACAACCTGCTGTGAAGACACAGAAAGTTGCCAGTCCAGAGGGTACTGCAGTCTAAAGAGTTCATTCAAGAAAAGTCACCTTAATAGTCTTAAATATGTTAAATACTCTGCTCCAGTCAACTTTCAACTACAGACCATAAAATATTTTTATAATCAACCTTGGGAACAAAGATGTGTCATCCTCATTTTCTAATGGAGAAGATGGAGCAAAGGTTAAGAAACTCGCCCCAAGTGAAAGAAGAGGCAATGATGAAAAAAGCCCAACCCACACTCCCATACTTGCTCCATCTGCCATTCTTAGTTAGCACAAGTTTTCACAGGAAAGTGCTAAGGCCAGAAAAACCACACAGTTCTGTTCTTCTGAGTTGTTCTGACCCAAGTTACGTTACAGAAACTATTCCTGCAGCAAGGAAGCTGACTCGTAATACAGAATTGTGAAATAACAGCTCAGACTTCTTCCTTTTCTATCACTGACCATTAAAAATGTAGGCAGCATTCAGTGCTATCTGTCTCTGTTGCAGCACAATCAAATAAAACGTCGCTCTGTCCCGAACTTCGTCATCACTGTCCATCATGCACCTGTTTTGGGGAAGAAGAGGACAGCAGGTCAGGCAGCTCAGGACATCACAAGAGCTGAGCTAAAAATGGCACTGGAGTCAATCCTTCAAGGACAGTCTGAGCTCTCTCAGTGGATGTACAAATTATAAAAAAACAAAAAGGGTTCATACATCTGAGCTCTCTCAGTGGATGTACAAATTATGAAAAAACCAAAAAGGGTCCATACATTTTTCAGTGGTGCCCAGTGACAGGACAAGAAGAAATGGGCACAAACTTGAAGATAAGAAGTTCCATCTAAACATGAGGAGGAACTTCTTTGCTGTGAGGGTGGCAGAGCCCTGGAAGAGGCTGCCCAGAGAGGTGGTGGAGTCTCCTTCTCTGGAGACATTCAAACTCTGCCTGGACATGTTCCTGTGGGACCTGCTCTGGCAGGGGGTTGGACTGGGTGATCTCCAGAGGTCCCTTCCAACCCCATATCATTCTATGATTCTGTAACAGAGTAGTTAAACTCCAAGTTGAAGTTTAAATGCAAGTGCCACAGCAGAAAACTAAGATTAAAGGAGATGTGTATGAAAATTGTCAACACCAGACATACTTGCTAAATTATAAAATATACACCTGCATTTTCTGGCTAATAATTCTGATGGGCACCATGTGGTTGCACTATTCTTTTTTTTTTTTTTTTTTTTTACAGCATTCTTTCACAACAGAACATAAGCAGAAGAAAGAGAGAGGATTACAAAAATAAACATATTAAAGCTGCTTTCTATTTCAGACTGGAAAAAATGGCTCTGCTCACCTAGTTTTTCCAACTATAGCAGGTGGTTTAATAAAGATTCTCTCTCCCTCCTGGCAACTTCCCTCCCTCTTCCCGTTGCTCAAATCACTTCTTGCAGTTTTAACCTACACTGAGGTTGTTTTCTGCCTGAAGCAATTCATAATTTGAATTATCCCTCTCACAACAGAAGCCAGATATGGCATAGGTTGACACTATAGGTTGACACTATAGTCAAACAAAGAACATGATATTTACAGTACAGACAATTTCAGGAGGTTGAATGGTCTTAACAAGAGACATAAGCTTTTGAGATCACAGAATCATAGAATGGTTCAGGTTGGAAGGGATTTTAAAGACCATCCAGTTCCAACCCCCTGCCCTGGGCAGGGACACCTCCCACCAGCCCAGGTTGCTCCAAGCCCCCTCCAACCTTGTCTTGAACCCCTCCAGGGATGGGGCAGCCACAGCTTCTCTGGGCAACCTGTGTCTCACCCCACCCTCACAGTAAAGAATTTCTTTCTGGTATCTAATCTAAGTCTCCCTTCTTTCAGTTTAAAACCATTCATCCTCATCCTGTCACTACACTCCCTGATGGAAGCACCTGAAATGGGAACACCTGAGATCACTACTCAGCCACATACAGAAGTTATTTATGAGTATCATGGAAATGTATTTTGTTGCTTCAAGGGATGCAAAAAAACGTAGACAAATACTAAATCTCTGTAGATTTATTACCCACTGAGGAATGTTCTCAGACCAGATTACTATCACACCCTTTTATGACTATTTACATCTTTTATTTGCTTATCATAGACTGGTTTGAGTCAGAAGGACCTTAAAGATCACTGAGTTCAACCCCCACCACCACCACCATGGGCAGGGACACCTCCCACTAGACCAGACTGTTTATGTCCAGTCAAGAAGGAAAGAAGGAAGATGGCTATCTCCCTACTCCTCTGCTGGCACGTTTCCACGGGCAGGGACACCCCCCACTAGACCAGACTGTTTATATCCAGTCAAGAAGGAAAGAAGGAAGATGACTATCTCCCTACTCCTCTGCTGGCACCTTGTAAAAACCCCAGTGTGAGTTCTCTCCTGGCCTGACCTCACTTCTTCTGTGGAGCCAGAGTGCCCAGTGTCACCAACCAGCTCAGCACGTGCACAGCACGGTGATACCCACTCACCTCTGCAAAAGCACCAAGATGCTGGGAAGAAGATTCTCATTCTGGGCACCAAACTTTGCCAGAGCACTTACAGCAGCTAGAGAGAAATAAAAACAAAACACAGGGAGATATCAGAGGTGCTCAAGCTACACACAAACACATTCTCATAGTCATGATTCAAAGCACAGGGCGTACCACGCAGGGCTTTCACTACAGAGGTTTTCACTTCCACACCACAAACCTTGCAGGCATTAAGAAAAGACTGAACTATATCCATATTTTCAAATGGAAGTCGTTTTGTGTCAGGGAATAACAGAACAAGATCAGCTTAACAGCCCTGCAACTTTGTTCTGAGAGAATTCTGTCAGAAAGGTTAGTTCAAGCTCTGTGGCTCACTCCAGTTGTTGGCCCCTCTGCCATTAATTGTAGCTCACAGCCCCAGATAAATCTGTTTTTCACACTCAGGGGTGACAAACATCCAGTGGTGACCAGGGCCAGGCTGCATCCAGTGACTTTGCAAGGAGCTGAAACCCCTCAGCAACCACTTAGAGCTGCCTGTCCAAACTAATCCAATTTCAGCTCGGCATTGGCTTGAAGAAATTCCATATAGAAAGAAGAGAAAGCTCTGTAACAAAGTACAAGCTTTACAGCCTTGGTGGTTAAAAAAAGAATATCCATATTTTCACAATGACAAAGTTTCTATACAGCATACGCTCTCTGGGGGATGCTCTTCATGTGCTCCCGGGTCACAATTAGGAAACTGTGACCAAAATTGCTGTCATCAAAAGTCAGATGCAATTTGAACCACGTGAACGGTACTTGTGAGCTCATTTTGTCTCCTCTTTCCCAGAAGCACTTCCTTTTCTAACATGCAGAAGATCAAGCCCGTGCTGATACCCCTCCAATGCCAAGTCCCAAGTGTAAAAAGAGGCTGAATAGTCTGAAAAGCGTCGTAAAGGCTCTGCAGGGAGGAAATACCAATCCACAACATGCTTCCAAGGAGGAATCCCTAAATTGTGGAGAAGATACTTCCATAAAAAAATAGATTATAGTCTATAGAAGACAATTATGCTTCTTAGGGAAGTAGCAGCATCCCCTCCTCATGTACTGCCTCTTGACTTTTGGGAGGCATTCAAAGGGGGAACTAGAATCATGGAATGGTTTAGGTTGGAAGGGACCTTAACGATCATCCAGTTCCAACCCCCTGCCCTGGGCAGGGACACCTCCCACCAGACCAGGTTGCTCAAAACCCCCTCCAACCTGGCATTGAACCCCTCCAGGGATGGGGCAGCCACAGCTTCTCTGGGCAACCTGGGCCAGGCTCTCACCACCCTCACACCAAACAAGTTCTTCCTGAGATCTTATCTCCCTCTTTCAGTTGAAAACTGTTCTCTGTCTTCCTATGGCTCCATTCCCTGATCAAGATTTCCTTCCCAGCTTTCCTGTAGGATGCCTTTAGGTACTGGAAGCTCATATATTGCTTGTGTTACACAAAGCTGGAGAACCAAGTGATGACACCACGATGATACAAGGAGCTTTAAAACACACTGTAGGATAAAATCACCTTCACAGCTGATGCACGTAAGAGCTAGCTCTTCACAGTGCCTGTGGAGCAACCGTTGGCCTCCCACTCCCAAACCCAGTTTCAACCCTGAGCCAACATGAAACCATCAAGCACTGGAGCTGAACTCACCAGCCCTCACCGCCTCGTTCTCCAGCACCACCCTGTTGAAGATGAAGCGGATGTACTTGGACGGGGACGGAGTCCTCGGCCCCTCTTTCCCCAGCAGATGCAGGATCTTTGTGGCCAGGACAGTGTGTTCACAGTCTTCAATGAATTCGCAGAGGTGAGCCAAGCCAGATTCCTTACTCTCGGGATTCTCCTCAATGATGCTGATTATACTATCATTACCCTTCCTGGAGGGACTATGTTAATTCAAAGGCTTCTCCTCACTTCCTGTGCCCAGTGATGACCCGGACCCAATTCTAACTTCACCTGTTACATTTTTGTCATTAAAACTCTTTGCAATTTTAAACTTGTCTAATACTTCCTTCCTTTTCTCATAAAACCAAGAATTTAAAACCACCGTACGCTAGCAGACAATGAACTTTGCAGATACACACTATACTCCTCAAGGCAACTCCATGGTCTAAAAGGGATGGATATAAGTGAACTACCATCCTTCACCAAGTTTTAACCTCAGTTTATAGTGACTAAACTTGACAAATTAGGTAAAAAGTTACAGTTCACACTATTTCCTAACTATGGACCAGACTGCAGTGATATAGACTCAAGGAGAACACTTAAAATCCGTATTTCTGGCACAAAGCACTGATGGCCTGTACCACCACTACCTGCAAGACAAGAGAAGGACGTTAGTCACCTGCGTTTATTTTTTTTCCTATGAAAAATACAAGTTTCTCACTATTTCAAGGTTTCATCTTGATAGATTAAATTCATGGAGGAGGAGGATAAAAATCAGGTGGTGGACTCTCAGCCTAAGTGTGCTAACAACCTCCTGTTAGCATACTGCAAGGCCTGGCTCTGTTAGAGGGACTTTAATTTAGAATCATAGAATGGTTTGGGTTGGAAGGGACCTCAAAGATCATCTAGTTCCAACCCCCCTGCCATGGGCAGGGACACCTCCCACCAGAGCAGGTTGCTCAAGGCCACATCCAGCCTGGCCTTGAACACTTCCAGGGATGGGGCATCCACAACTTCCCTGGACAACCTGTTCCAGTGTCTCACCACCCTCAGAGTAAAAAATTTCTTCCTGAGATCTAATTTGAATCTTTTTTCTTCCAATTTAAAACCGTTTCCCCTTGTCCTATCATTACCCTTCCTGGAGGGACTATGTTAATTCAAAGGCTTCTCCTCACTTCCTGTGCCCAGTGATGACCCGGACCCAATTCTAACTTCACCTGTTGCATTTTTGTCATGAAAACTCTTTGCAATTTTAAACTTGTCTAATACTTACTTCCTTTTCTCATAAAAACAAGAATTTAAGAGCACCGTACGCTAGCAGACAATGAACTTTGCAGATACACACTATACTCCTCAAGGCAACTCCATGGTGTAAAAGGGATGGATATAAGTGAACTACCATCCTTCACCAAGTTTTAACCTCAGTTTATAGGGACTAAACTTGACAAATTAGGTAAAAAGTTACAGTTCACACTATTTCCTAACTATGGATCAGACTGCAGTGATGTAGACTAAATCAGAACACTTAAAATCGCTCTTCCTCTCCAAAGAGGTGAGCAGAAGGTGGTACAAGGTTTTGCAGGACGCTGCAGAGGAGCCAGGAATCCCCCAAATGACATTTACCATTTCTTGGAGCATTTGGGGGGAAATGGGAGGAAATGACACAGTATATTTCAGTTGGAAAGCAGAGAACTACACTTTCTGAATTTCAAACTGGCTTCGCTCTATCAGACTAAGTCCCCGAAGGATTAACAAATGGGAAAAGCTTCATAATAACAAGAAGGGGAGAAAAACCTGCAGCTGGAAAGAGCAGAGGCCTCCAATGCCACACCTTAAACTCATCTGATATTTCTGACACGAAGGAAGAGATCTGTTTCATGAGCCTGTCTACACTGCTCTCACTGCCTGTCTTCAGCAGGGTGGTGATGGCCAGGGTAGCGATACTGCGGTTGGAGTCAGTGATGAGGTTTTCCAGGTCTAGGTTGCAGGCAGTGACTGCAGAGGGATGCTTCATGGCCACCTGTAAAGAAGGCAATTCCAAATTATATGGGAGCAGTAACACCCTACAATTCAAAGCTTTTGATGTGGCAAGGATTAAAGCCCATCGTATGGCTGCTGGCAGGATGCAACCAGAATCACATGGGGTTGGAAGGGACCTCTGGAGATCACCTAGTCCAACTCCTCTGCCAAAGCAGGTCCACCCAGAGCAGGTCCCACAGGAACATGTCCAGGCGGGGTTTGAACGTCTCCAGAGAAGGAGACTCCACCACCTCCCTGGGCAGCCTCTTCCAGGGCTCTGCCACCCTCACAGGAAAGAAGTTCTTCCTCATGTTGAGATGGAACTTCTTATGTTCAAGTTTGTGCCCATTTCCTCTTGTCCTGTCCCTGGGCACCACTGAAAAAAGGACTGGCCCCATCCTCCTGACACCCACCCTTTAAGTATCTATAAGCATTGATCAGATCCCCCCTCAGCCTTCTCTTCTCCAGACTACAAAGACCCAAGTCCCTCAGCCTCTCCTCAGCAAAGAGATGCTCCAGGCCCCTCAACATCTTTGTAGCCTCTGCTGTACCCTCTCCAGCAGTTCCCTGTCCTTCTGGAACTGGGGAGCTCAGAACTGGACCCAGTGCTCCAGATGGGGCCTCCCCAGGGCAGAGCAGAGGGGGAGGATGACCTCCCTGAACCTGCTGGCCACACTCTTCTTGATGCCCCCCAGAATGCCATTGGCCTTCTTAGCCATAAGGGCACACATTGTCAGCTCATGGTCATCCTGTTGTCCACCAGGACTCCTAGGTCCAACCAAAGGACAACCAAAGCTCAGATTCTTTTATTTCAGCGTTTCAAACTCCTCTAATTGTCAAACCCATGAGCTGTAACTTTACAGTCTCAAACTGCTTCTGTCACGATGTGCTTTGAAATCAGGATGTTCTTTCCTTCACATACATCCTATTCATGCTTTTCACAGTATTAAATACCTGGGACTCTGCTTCCTTACAGCAGAGAGCTCACAAGTTATCAAACTCCAACTTGTTGTAGCCCTGTGGTCCAGAAATGAGCAGACAACAGCTCGAGGGCAGAAAAGATTTCTGTCACACCAGGAGATCTGGCATGGAAAAGCCAATTCTCCAACATGGAATATTTCCAAATACAGTAATCACAAGAGCAGTCGCTCTAATTTAGGTAACGAATCATTAGGCACCAAAGTCTGGCTTCCTCTGATGCTTAGAGATTTCTGCTTGTTTAGAGGTTTTGGAATCACTCACTTTATTAAGGGTCCGTACGGCTGCGTATCTCAAGACAGGTTTGGGAGAACTGCAGAAGAGCTGCAGCACTGAAAATAAATACATAAAAATAATCAAGAGAAGTATCTCACAACAAAATGTTACAGAGTAGAGGATGTTTAACAAAAACTGGCTCCCGGTACTGCAATTTTAGGCACCAGTAATGTCTGGGGAGCAGGAGGTGAGAGCCCTCACGACCACACCAGCTGAGGAGAGGGAAATCACTTTCTGCCAGTGCTTTGATATTGAGAGATGCAAGCAGTTTAATCAGAATTCACCACAGCAGAAAAGCAGATATGGTCTCTTTCAAAGAATGAGAGTAAAGTCAAATGTATCCACATTCAACTACATGCTGCTAAATGCTCATGCAGCTCTATTCATAATTTATCACTAGCTTCACAAGCAAGTTAAAAATAACCTCCTGGTTTTCATCTTATATCAATAATACGTGGTTGGTGTAGTCATCTGTGGCACATCAAGGTCTTCTCTGCCTTCCCTCCCTCCCACCCTAACTTCCCACAGCTGGAAAAAGGCAAACATTGCCCTGTGCTATCTCTAGAATCCATTCTCTACAGCTTTGGATGAAATGGGAAAAAGGGAGAAAGACGTTTCTCATCCACAAGCCTCTAACTTGGGGACAATCAGAAAAGTCAGAGTTTGAGTCCAGTATTTTAGTTACACTGTACTGTTTCTGAGGTGCTTTCCCACCCTTTTTTTTCAGCTGAATCAGTGGAACAAAGGGTTCTATGACCAACCTGAAACAGCTGGTGCCAGCTCCCTGGCCGTGCAGTTTGGGAGATGGATGATGGCAGAAGCAGCTTCATAAATAACCATTTCATGCTTGTTCCGCAGACAGCTCTCAATGAAGTCAAACAGTGGACTTTCATGGCTACGAACAGAAGACATGTCACAGCCTGAGGCTTAATTATGTGCAAACCACTAAATACCACATTTCTGAGAACTTGACAGAAAGCACAGTTAATGTAGCACATTGCTCAACTCATACTTGAGCTCTAAACTTCCTATTTACTCTCATTCCATACATCTTTACATTATCTTCTTCGAATGTTGCACTCCAGAAATAACATACTTTATTATTAATCACGTAGCACACCACTAACAGAAATTTCCACTGATAAAAAAGAATTTCATCAGGAGGTGAATTTCTCAGGTAATTATACCCTCCTTTGTCAGTGTGAGATCAGAATAAGACAGATTCTTTTATTTATATCCCCACAACATAAGTAGATCATTATTGCATTTGAAAATGCATCTGAACAGACAAAGTACAAAACCACTCCAGAGATTTTTCTGCAGTTTTAATCCTACCCTCAGCTAAGTTTTTGTGGTCCAGTGTCAAAATAAAAATCCAGACCTTATCACACATATTCATACTCAGTTCAGCTTAGCACTCTCTGCTTCTACGTGGTGGCCAGGAGGTCATGGGAGGTGATTCTGCCCCTCTACTCTGCTCTAGGGACATCCCACCTGGAGAACTGCCTCCAGCTCTGGAGTTCTCAGCACAGGAAGGACATGGACCTGTTGGAACAGGTCCAACAGAGGGCCACAAAAATTATCAGAGGGCTGAAGCACCTCTTCTATGAAGACAGGCAGAAAGAGTTGGGGTTGTTCAGCCCGGAGAAGAGAAGGCTCCAGGGAGACCTTGTAAGGGTCTTCCAGTACCTGAAGGGGGTCTACAGGAGAGATGGGGAGGGACTCTTGATCAGGGAGTGGAGCCATAGGACAAGGGGTAATGGTTTTAAACTGAAAGAGGGGAGATTGAGATTAGATAATAGTAAGAAATTCTTTGCTCTGAGGGTGGTGAGAGCCTGGCCCAGGTTGCCCAGAGAAGCTGTAGCTGCCCCATCCCTGGAGGTGTCCAAGGCCAGGTTGGAGGGGGCTTGGAGCAACCTGGGCTGGTGGGAGGTGTCCCTGCCCAGGGCAGCAGATTGGAACTAGATGATCTTTAAGGTCCCTTCCAAACCAAGCCATTCTACGATTCTATACCTGCATTTTATTTTTAATAGTACAATTCTCTCCGACTGTGTGTAGATTTCCACAAACTTTAAAAAAAATAAAAAGCCAAATTCCTAGCTACCGGTTGCCTCAAACTAGAATTAGTTTGGTAACTCCCATGTTGCCTCTCACTCACCCCTCTTCAGATTCCTTCAAGAGTTTGCTTGCGATACGGATCAGCATGCAGTAGGCAAACTGGGATTTCAGTCCAGATTTTGTGAATTTATTCAGCATCTTGGAAACCGCAAGGCGATCGATTTTTCTAAGGTGATAGAGCAGCCCCAAAGCATGGTACTAGGAAATCAAAACCACAGACGTGCAGGCATTGAATACACACTGCAGATGGAAAAGTCAGATGGAAAAACCTAAAAAAAGGTAATAATCACTGCTTCCTAGCAGAAATACCTTCTAATCTCAAATGATCAAAAGAGTAATGAAATTAGTTTATTCTTTTTTCTTCCTGTTAATAGTCAGAACTTCAAAGGCTTCACCTTACTAAATTATACTGCACAACAGCACTCACATTTCTAGTGCTCTCAACATCCAGGATATCCCAAGGCCTTTAAATGGCAGCTGACCTTACAAAAATCCTTGAGGCATTTACAGTAAATTACAAAGCCACGTTTCTAGTCACTTTGCCAATTTTTTGGGATTTATTTTTTTTTTGCCACAAGACTGATTCAAAGTAAAGCTTCATAAAGTTGCAAACTGGGCAAGAACAAACCTTATTTTACAGATTTGTTTCCGATGGTTAGTCTGTAACGCTGACTGATCACGCAGAACGCTTTCATTTTCACAGCTGTCTGGAATATCCCTGCAAAAATTTTACTGATATGGATATCTTACTGATATTTGGGCTAATCTCTGTGGTCCTGGAGCAACTGGCAAATTTTCTGAAGGACAAGAGGAGAGATACTGGTGTTCTGGGAGATAGCAAGATAATTTCTTTTTGAAAACTCAGATTCAAAGTCCTTCTGCAACAACCACTGTGAAACAGTCCGGGGTTTCCCAGCTCTCAGAAGGTTGGCAGGGAAAGGGCAGAGGATTGCAGTAAAGAGCCAACTCATGAGGTTCAACAAGAGCAAGTGCAAGGTTCTGCACCTGGGCCCGAACAATCCTCGCCACCAATACAAACTAGGGGGTGAGGTACTGGAAAGCAGCCCTGAGGAAAGGGACTTGGGGGTGCTGGTGGATGAGAAGCTGGACATGAGCAGGCAGTGGGCACCTGCAGCCCAGAAGGCCAGTCACATCCCGGGCTGCATCAAAAGAAGTGTTGCCAGCAGGTCCAGAGAGGGGATTCTGCCACTTTGCTCTGGTGAGACGGAGAGCCTGTTTAGAAAGGCCTGCAGTGACAGGACGAGGGGCAATGGCTTCAAGCTGGAGGGGAACAGATTTAGACTGGAGATGAGGAGAGGGTTCTTCACTGTGAGGGTGGTGGAGCACTGGAACAGGTTGCCCAGGGAGGTGGTTGAGGCCCCTTCCCTGGAGATATTCAAGGAGAGGCTCGACGAGGCCCTGGGCAACCTGGTCTAGTTGGGGGTGTCCCTGCTGACTGCGGGGAGGTTGGACTAGATGACCTTTGGAGGTCCCTTCCGGCCTGGACTATTCTATGATTTTATGATTCTATGAACTCTTAATTAAGAATCTTGAGCTGGGATCACAGAGAAGCTTGTCGGTTTTTGAAACAGTCATTTCCCTCAAGTCACAATTCTTGTTTTTCAAATAATAAGGGGAAAAGGGAAATCAAGTTACTTTTTCTAAGGTTATCTCAATACCATTAAAAGCCTGTAGTGTGGTTAAGAGTTTCCTGGAGCAACCACCCTCAAACGTACCTGCACCATGACGTTGTCACTAGAAGCTGCTTCTTGAGCTTCGTTGATCCACCGTTTGACTACATCGTAACTGATCTTCATCATGTGCTGGAAGAAGCCACAAATTGAGACTGCAGACAAACTAACATTAGAAGCACAGCGAAGTACCAGGAGCCTTGGTTTCAGTTTTTTAAGTTTAAAGAGTTCAAGACAATCTAGGGCTTTGCTACGTATTACAGGTAGTAAAGAATAACTCCCAAATACACAGTTTGTACGGATGCACTTACTGAAATAAAGAGAAAAATAACCTGGAGAGGTTTTTGTCTATGTTCAAATAGGACAACACTTGGACAATTCACCTGCCTACAGTTAGTCCAGCAAGAAAGACTTTGGTTGTATTAATACAGCTTTGTTTGCACCCTCAGGGTCCTAATCCAGGCTCTACTCCACCTCATCAGTTGAAGCTCTTACCTCCTGCTCTGTCTTCTTCATTTACCAATGCAGCCAATCTCTTTATCCTATGCCCCTATAAAGCACTGCTTTTATTACATCTCAGGCTCAGATTACAATGTTTTTACTTGTATTCTCTCTCTCTTTAATAAAAATATTAACCTAACGGGATCTTTGCCAGCCTTTTCTCTAAACAAGGGCGAAAAATACAGTGAGCTACTTCATCTTGCCCTCCTACTACATATTAGCAAAAATAATCTTGAACTGCAATCTTATCAGGGCAGTAATTTGTTTTTGTTTTTGTTTTCTTTTTGCAGAGCACAAAGCAGACTGCTTTTATTACCCGTTACTGAGCTCATACAGTCTTTTACAGTCATCACTGTTAAGTTCTTTTACAGAACAGAACAGGTTGGTTTTGCTTACTCTCACCAACTGATAAGCGCTTTCACGGTCAAGATGTATTTGACTTTCCAATACAGACAAGGCCCCTCCCCAAGGAAATTAATGTTCTACACTAATTGCATAGAGAGATGACTGAGCACTTTGCACTTCAAGTTGTTACAACTGATGTACTCTAAAGCAAGGGAACGTTAAGGAAGGAATTTGAGAAGAGAGAGTCTGCTTGAGACAAAGGAAACTCCACTGCTACTATTTTTTCTTGATTTTCCAATGAGGAGATGAAGAAGAAACATATAAAAGAAAAAGCAGATGAAAAAAAAGAACAAAACAAAGGTCAGGCAGAGCTACACATGCACCAGACTACCCTTCCCAGCCATAACACAATGCACAGGTTTACAATAATCTACTGCTTTACTTACTAAGGAAGACACCAGTGCAGAACTGGACACACTGGGGACTTTGTCCACAATGGCTTGCTTCATGTATCTCTCAATGGCTTGTAACATCGTACCCTATGAAAGGGAAAAAAGAAAAAGTATTGATACTTTGGAAGCAGAGCATAAAGGCAGCATGCTCAAAAATATATGCACAGCGTATTCAAAAGGTCCTCAAATAAATAATCTTGAGCTAATTCTGAAAATGCATGGTTCTGCAAGGGAGACATGAGTATCAGCTGCCCAGTCCTGAAGGTTCAGTGACATGATCAAAGCTTCCAGCAAAGTAAGCTCAGGTCAGAAACAAGAGCTCCAAAGCAAGATGATCTTTAAGGTCCCTTCCAACCTAGAAGATTCTGTGATCTTCTAACTCCATATTTACATTCCTGCTGCTCCACAGTGCTCCACACAGCTGCAGAGGGCTTCAGAGCAGCCCTCTCTAAAGCAGCAGTTCCATCACTACCATAAGAATACATCCTGCAAGAGAGTAGACTTTCTGTTTTGAAGACACTCATCATCTCTCCCACATCAGTGACATGGGAGAGATGGCCCCTGTATTGGACAGCCCGTGAGGCCCCACCTCAAGGGCTGTGTCCACCCAAGTTTTGGGCCCCTCACCACCAAAAAAACATTGAGGGGCTGGAGCAGGTCCAGAGAAGGGCAACGGAGCTGGAGATGGATAGGGAGAATAAGTCTTACGAGGAGAGGGTGAGGGAGCTGGGGGTGTTCAGCCTGGAGAAAAGGAGGCTGAGGGGAGACCTTCTCGCTCTCTCCAACTCCCTGAAAGAAGGGGGTAGCCAGGGGGGGGTCGGTCTGTTCTCCCAAGGAACAGGTGATGGGAGAAGAGGAAATGGCCTCAAGTTGCACCAGGGGAGGTTTAGGATGGATATTAGGAAAAATGTTTACACTGGAAGGGTTATTAAGCCTTGGAATGGGCTGCCCAGGGCAGTGGTGGAGTCACCATCCCTGGAGGTTTTTACAAGATGGGTTGACGTAATGCTTAGTGACATGGTTTAGTGATTTTTATTTTTTTAAATCGGAGTTATTTTGATGGTTGGACAGGATGATCTTAAAGGTCCCTTCCAGCCAAGACAATTCCATGATTCTATGACTTGTACTTACATCAGTGATCCTGCAGAGCGCTCTGATGGCCGGGCCTCGGTACACATCTTCCTTCCCTGTCATGTCCTTGGTCAAACTAAAATAATCAAAGACACCCTGTGAACACTTCTTTAATATCTTGATGTCTTGGTCCTGTTATGACATTCACTCCATCTCATTTAGCTGTTACCTCTTAATTGCTAAGCTCTAGTATTGGCTAGAAACAACTTCTTAATAATTAGCTATTTGAAAATTATTAACACCATAGAAATGCAGAACATTATAAAATGCATAGTCCATAATATTACTTTGCCATAGGCCTGGTTTATTTAGTTCAGCCAATCCACTTTTTGGTGTTGCTCTTCTTTCTACCACGTGAAGTTTTGGTTCAGATAATAGTAAAGTTTAGTTTGCTGAACAGCATTAAGTAAATCTAAAATAAAACAATTGCTTAGAACACACCACAGAGGCACTTTTTGCTCTGGCTCCAACTGTAATGTCTACTGTTTTCAAAAAAAAATGGATAGTTCAGCTGGCAGACTGAACTGAGCTTTGCTGCACTTTTCCCCCTAACTGCCCTGACAGCCAAGTGAAACAGAAGTCACAGCCCCAGTTTTCATAAAACCATTAAGCAACTACAACTTTAAAACAACAAACCAGAAAAAAAAGTAGCAACCAATTGATAGACTGTAGGCAAACCTCTTGCTTTTCTAGGAAACTGTAACAGGGTAGTCAGAAATTAACATGTCATAGGGTGACACATACTCTGTATCATGAATAATTTGTCTTCCCTTGCTGTATCCTTTATGAGGCTAAAGTACAAAAAAAACCAGCAGCTAAAACAAACACATTAAGATGCAGCTACTTGTTTCAGAGCTTTGATACCGTGTTTCCTGTAGGTCCTACCTGCTTGTGACAATGATGACATCCTCAGAAATGTTGGCCATCTCTTTGATAGTGAGGTAACACATTCTTCTAAGGGTTTGCTGTGAAAGTGTATTGCAGAAAACCATTAAACCCAATGGCAATTATGAATAAACACCTCCTCAAGGTTTTAGAAGTTAAATAAAAAGTTAAATATTTTACTTAAAAGTTAAATAAACTTTTAAAGCAGAACATTCTGCTCCCTTCATCTATACAAAAATCATAAACACATAAGTAAAATCATGTTTGATAACTGGATAACAGCCTTACTCCCTGTTATAAAAAAAAACAAACCCAGGAGGAATAAGAGAATCTCTTGTAAAATGATAAGACTAAGAAGAAAAAAAAAATCCACATCATGAAAGAAATGATACATCGTTTCTGTATGTAGAAGCCTCACAATTATCAGTTAAAAGCTATAAAAAGAGCTTCCCCTGTCAGTGCTTTGTGCATATTTCTATCTTTCTTTTACAATAACACATAGATCATTTTAATTCTTTGAAAGCAAATAACATATTTAAATTAAAAAAACAACCATGCTTTTTAAAATGTGGGTATGAGAACAGTCTCAAACACTCTGTACTTCCAAAATTTTCATTCCATCTTGAAACAATTACATGTGCAACCTTCCTCGGCCAAACCTCTAAAAACCTGAAGTGCCAGTTAATCTTTAACAAAAAACTAATGAGGCTCATCCCATGAAACATACTCCTATGAGTTCTTACGCTCTCTACAAGAGAGATCAGAGAAGGACTTGACATTGGATGAAGTCCAAAGTTAACTCAGCATTTTTAGGATGGTCTCATCCCTTGACTCCATGTTGATTCATGAATCAGGGCAATGAAGCTGGTGAGGGGTTTGGAGACCAAGTCTTGTGAGGAGCAGCTGAGGGAGCTGGGGGTGTTCAGCCTGGAGAAAAGGAGGCTGAGGGGAGACCTTCTTGCTCTCTCCAACTCCCTGAAAGGAGGGGGTAGCCAAGGGGGTCAGTCTCTTCTCCCAAGGAACAGGTGATAGGACAAGAGGAAATGGCCTCAAGTTGCACCAGGGGAGGTTCAGATTGGATATCAGGAAAAATATTTACACTGAAAGGGTTATTAAGCCTTGGAATGGGCTGCCCAGGGCAGTGGTTGAGGCACCATCCCTGGAAGGATTTAAAAAAAGATGGGTTGACATAGCGACATGATTTAGTGATGATTTTTATCAGAGTTATTTTGATGGTTGGACTAGATGATTTCAAAGTCCCTTCCAACCGAGATGATTCTATGAATTCTAGGGAATTGCAGTATTTGATCTACAGGCAACTTTTAAATTCCGTTTTGAGTTAAGCAGATGGCTATTATTTGGAAGTGTAAGAAACAGCCATAAAATTATACTGTTTTGTATATTAATGTCATTATTCACGTTCTTTACAACTAATTCAACTCAGAAAAAAAAAAACACACCACCAAAAACAACCTGCAGGAGTAACCATATGTTATTATTCAGTCATTTGTTTCCAAACCATGAACTGCCTTCAGCAAGTACTTTGTGTGCAAAGCTTGTTCTCTGAAGCACTTGCCTCACTCTCCTCCCACCTCCCAGTATCCAACTGTTTTGCAATTACTGCAAATCCAGACAAAGCCAGGGAGGCAGCAAGTGGCAAACACCAGGTACTCACATCATTAGATTGAAATAATCTGGTCATGGCAAAAAAAGCTTCTGTGGCTTCAGTGGTTCCAAAGTGTTCACCCTGAAAAGCAGCAAGAAAAACCACCATCATTATCTAGCCACCTCCAGCTTTAACCCCCCACTTATGACATCTAAAAACACACCACATGAAGAATCTTTTCTCTGAAGACTTTTTCACATGTGAGCAGCAGTCCCTCCCTCACCTTATGTTTCCTGGGGAGTAGGTGCCAAGTTTACCACTATTATCTACTTGGCTTCAGTAGAAATGCCATCCCCAGTGGCAGAATAGTTTGTCAAGTAGCCTGTTTTTCCTCTTTTGACATCAAATTGTCAGCAGTTAGTTCTGTGGCATGGAAGGATCCGCCTTGCTTAAATGGAATCTACTTAAAGACAAGTGGTGCCAATTAAAGCTGAACACAGTGGTGAACACAGACTAATCAGCAGCTCTCACTTGGCTCTCAAAGAAGTCTTAAAAGCTTCAGTGACACACATCTCCCTCATCTCACTGGCAAAATTGGAAAGGAGAAGAGAATACTACAGCATAAACACTCAATTTTTTTTTTATCTCCTCAAAAGCAACCTCCCAAGTCTGAAGGGAGGAAGAAGTATAAAACTTTCACACTGAAAGGTATCAGAAATTAACTTCAGGAATATTCATTCCGGCTGGGAAGAAATGGTAAATTACCTGGTTCAACAAGTAAAGGATCTTGGTAAGGATATGCAGGCATCTTCGTGGATTTATAGGGGTCTCATTAAAGATACGTGCCTACAAACACAGAATAAATACTGTATTACGCTGTAACCCAACAATAATAATTTCTCTTTCACCATAAAAAGCAATTTGGTTTCAACCAAGTAGCTTATAACTTTTTTACATTGTAAAAATGTATCCCAATGAGCATATTCCTGTCTCGTAGCTCATGCATGTTTAGTTTGCTCCATGGGCAGCAATCTGAACAAAAGAAGATGACTCATTTTAACGTCTGAAACTAGCAAAAATACTTTAAAAGAGAAGCAAAACAACTTAATTCTTTCCATAGCATTAGTAGACAAAACCCTACTTAGCGCTAGTCTGTAGGAACAAGAAAAATAAATGATAAAGTTCCTACTTTTATCTCTTTGCACCACATGTTAACCCCACTTGAAATCATTCTTGAAGTATTCAAAGAGAAACAGGAAGACCCATTACACGGTACAATGAACGAGCACAGGAAAAAAAAGGTTCAAGAAGGCCAGGTGCTGGGTCCTGCACTTGGGTCACAACAACTCCACGTAGGTAGCACTACAGGCCTGGGGAGAAGTGGCTGGAAAACTGTGTGGTGGAAAAGGACCTGGGGCTGTTGGTTGACAGCCACAAACCATCAGTGTGCCCAGGTGGCCAAAAAGGCCACCAGCATCCTGGCCTGTATCAGGAACAGCGTGGTGAGTAGGACTCAGAAGGTGATCGTTCCTCTCTACTGGGCACTGGTGAGGCCCCACCTCAAGGGCTGTGTCCAGTTTTTGGCCCCTCACCACAAAAAAAGGCATTGAGGTGCTGGAGCAGGTCCAGAGAAGGGCAACGGAGCTGGTGAGGGGTCTGGAGCACAAGTCTTATCAGGAGAGGCTGAGGGAGCTGGGGGGGTTCAGCCTGGAGAAAAGGAGGCTGAGGGGAGACCTTCTCACTCTCTCCAACTCCCTGAAAGGAGGGTGTAGCCAGGGGGGGGCGGTCTCTTCTCCCAAGGAACAGGAGATGGGACAAGAGGAAATGGCCTCAAGTTGCACCAGGGCAGGATTAGGATGGCTATTAGGAAAAATGTTTATACTGGAAGAGTTATCAAGCCTTGGAATGGGCTGCCCAGGGCAGTGGTGGAGTCACCATCCCTGGAGGGATTCAAAAGATGGGTTGACATAGTGCTTAGTGACATGGTTTAGTGATGTGTTTGGTTTTTTTTAATCAGAGTTGGGTTGATGTCCACATGGAAGGCAGAAGCCACATATAATCTAATTACCATACATAAACCCCTCATGGAGTAACTTCACATGCACTTAATTCATATACCCTGTGATTTTTAGTTAACTGTAACAATTTAGCCATCCACATTTCCCAAGAGCTGCACTGTAAAACTTCCTTACGTTGCTAACATTTACTGATCAAAGAGTTAAACAGTGTTATATTATGATTATTCATACCTCCTGAAGCACAGCACTCTTCTCCAAATGCTGTAAAGGATTAGAGCCGCTACCTGAAGAACAGAAGAGACCAGAACAGAAAAGTTAGGGAAAAATGCTCTCCATAAACACCAGTAACTAAAAACAACAGAACTGAACGTGTAGGAACAGACCGTCAACTTTACAAAAACACCTCAATGCTACAGTGACATTGTTAATGTTCTATAACTGATGTTCTCCATCAAAAGCTTTGAATCCACTTTCTTAAGTCACACATTCAGAATTACAGAAAAAAAAGCCCCAAGGGGAATAGTTTCAACACAGCTGGAGGGTGAGGAAGAAGAAAGTATTAAGATAAACCCTGTAAATAAAACTTTTACTCTTTTTTCCCTTGTTTTTATTCCTTAAGCCACAAAAAGCACTGAAGGCATCAGGGCAGAGCTGCTAATCAGGATCTGAAATAGAAGTATATTGATCAATGCACCACTAAAACAGGCTACTCAGCAAACTCCAAAAAACAGTCTGGTTGGAGCACATCACAAAACCATTAACATCAGACTATCTCCACACTGTACCTTCTCAGCCTTTCAACAACCCAGATCCAACCACTGAGAGCTATTCGTTTCTTGGAGATGACACTTCTCTGTCAGCAGCATCCAGAGGAGACCAGCCTTCTAATCCACATACAGATCAAAACCACCTCTTCAGACCCACCATTCTATGGGTAAAACCTTCCAAACCCTCACTACTGCTTCTGACCCTCTTCCTCCAGCAAACATTTTTCACTTTCAGTTCATTCATTCTTCAGTTCTCACATCCCAAGCTGAAGGAAATCGAGAACGAAACAAAATGTGCCCTAATAGCCAAGAAGGCCAATGGCATCCCAGGGGGCATCGAGAAGAATGCTGGGGGACTTGGGTCTCTTTAATCTGGAGAAGACTGAGGGGGGGATCTCATCAATGTCTATCAATACTTCAAGGGTGTGTGTCAGGAGGATGGGGCCAGGCTTTTTCCAGTGGTGCCCAGTGACAGGACAAGAGGGAACAAGCACAAATCTGAACAGAGGAAGTTCCACCTAAACACGAGGAGGAACTTCTTCACTTTGAGGGTGTCAGAGCCCTGGAACAGGCTGCCCAGGGAAGTGGTGGAGTCTCCTTCTCTGGAGACATTCAAAACCCACCTAGACACGTTCCTGTGGGACCTGCTCTGGGTGGCCCTGCTTTGGTAGGAGTTGGACTAGGTGATCTCCAGAGGTCCCTTCCAACTCCACATCATTCTGTGATCCTGTGAAAGTCAACCCAGCTGGGTACATCTTGCTCTCAGAAGACCTCTGAGCAGCAGCAAGACCAAATTCAAGATGGCATCAATTACTACAGGCAACAAGAACTTAATTTCTAGGTGATTTTGTGGAACGAAAATGTGCAGGTGATGCCTTCATTCGCTACATCTGTGCCAAATGTAATGGGTTTCTTTCCCCTCTGGCCGGGTTACCTGAACACAGATGCTCCTGACACAGTCCAAACCATGTTGTAGGCGTCAGGAGGGCTGCTGCCCCATTACCCAGCTGATGAGCGGACCTCGAATGAGCCCTGCAAGCACTGCTACTCCTCACAGTGGCAAAGATTGGAAGAGACCAGCGGGGCTGTGGGGAACAAGTTCCCTCTGACCGTGGCCTCGAAGGGCCAGGGAACATAGAATCATAAGCCCAGGCCGGAAGGGACCTCCAAGGGTCATCTAGTCCGACCTCCCCGCAGTCAGCAGGGACACCCCCAACTAGACCAGGTTGCCCAGGGACTTAGCCTCTCCTTGAATATCTCCAGGGAAGGGGCCTCAACCACCTCCCTGGGCAACCTGTTCCAGTGCTCCACCACCCTCACAGTGAAGAACTTGTTCCTAATATCCAATCTAAATCTACTTTTCTCCAGCTTAAAGCCATTGTCCCTCGTCCTGTCACTGCAGGCCTTTCTAAACAGACTCTCCCCAGCCTTTCTGTAGCCCACTTTAGGGACTGGAAGGCTGCTATTAGGTCTCCCCAGAGCCTCCTCTTCTTCAGGCTGAACAACCCCAGCTCCCTCAGCCTGTCCTCGTAGCAGAGGTGCTCCATCCCCCTGATCATCCTTGTGGTCCTCCTCTGGACCCTCTCCATCAGGTCCATATCCTTCTTATATTGAGGGCTCCAGACCTGCACACAGTACTCCGGGTGAGCAGAGCAAAGCGGCATCCCGAAGGGAGGCTCCGAGGGAGGCCACTGCACTAAAAAGCAGGCGAAGCCTCCTTCCTCAGCGGCCGTTACTCCCCTACCCGCACCTCACCTCAGCGGCCGTTACCCTCCTCCCTCACCTCAGCGGCCGTTACAGGCCGCGGCACCCGCTAGACGCCTCAGTAACGTTCCCCTCGAGGGCCGTACCACCGTTCCCGCCCCTGGGCCCGCCTCCAGTTCCCTCCCCGCCGCCGCCAGGCCCGTACCGGACTCCTCGTCCTTCTTGTCAAACTTCTTTATCATGTCGCCGCCGATCGCGCCCCCACTCCCTTAGAGCCGCGCCGCCGCGCGAGGGCCCGCCGGAAAACCCGCCTCCCCGGCTCCATCTCTGCCATTTCATTGGTCCGCGGTGCTGCCACTCAACTCTTTCACCCACTCAGAGACCCTGAGCCTCGTCGGTGCTTCTAAGCCACGCCCCCTCTCCCGATGCTGAGGGGGCGGGGCTGAGCCGGGAGAAGGTGAGGGCGCGTCTTAAAGGGGCCGCGCCGCCATTTTGTGAGGGGATGCTTAGTCTTCACTGACTGACAGACAGACAAACCATCTTGGCAAAAAAATAAGCACACATTTCAGCCACCAGCTCCACTCAGAAGGGAGAGGTGAGGTGCCTTTGCCTGGCTGCTGAGGTACTTCAGCAGCAATGGCCTCGCTGTTGCACTCTGAGAGGACTTCTGCTTTCCTCCTCCCTGCCCCTTCTAAAAATAATAAAGCCAAAAAGGAGCTGTCAGAAGTTATTAACACCTCAACAAAGTCTTTCTGAAAGAGGGAGCGCAAACAGTCTCCTTCACGGTGATGAGACCCCCAAAAAAAGCACCCCAGAGGTGATATGGACACCCCACTGTGGCACCATTCCCCACAGCGATGGCTGCCCGTGAGGTAATGGAGGAGTTTATTGGGTGGTGGGTGCTGCTGAGCCTCTCTGCAGCTGCCGTCCCTGCTGGAAGCCGTCGCTGCTGGGCACGGGGATGACGCGGTGGGTCTGAAGAAGGACGGAGAGGGACAAGGGCTCTGGTGAGCAGGTTGACATCTTGCTTCGCGGCTGGGCCGGCAGCGGGTCTGTAAGAAAGCACAGATGTTTCCTCAGCGAGGTGGCCCCAGTGTGTGTTCCCCGCTGCTCAGTATTGAGGCTGTCACAGATGTTTCCTCAGCGAGGTGGCCCCAGCGTGTGTTCCCCACCACTCAGTATTGAGGCTGTTTTTTTGTTTAATATCTTTATCAATAATCAGGACGAGGGGATCAAGTGCACCCTCCGTAAGTTTGCAGGCAACAGCAAGTTGGGCGAGAGGGTTGACCTGCTTGAGGGGAGATTGCAGGCAACAGCAAGTTGGGCGAGAGGGTAGGAAGGTTCTACAGAGGCATCTGGACAGGCTGGATCGATGGGCCAAAGCCAATGGTGTGAGGTTCACCAAGGCCTAGTGCTGGGTCCTGACTTGAGTCACAACAGCCCTGTGAACGCTCCAGGCTGGGGACAGTGGAGCTGGAGCTGCCCAGTGGAAAAAGACCTGGAGGTGTTGGTCGACAGCCAGCTGAACACGAGCCATCAGTGTGCCCAGGTGGCCAAGAAGGACAACAGCGTCCTGATCTGTATCAGCAATAATGTGGTGAGTTGGACTAGGGCAATGACCATTCCCCTGAACTGGGCACTGGTGAGGTCCCACCTCAAGAGCTGTGTCCAGTTTTTGGCCTCTTACCACGAAAAAAAAAAGCATTGAGGTGCTGGAGCATGTCCAGAGAAGGGCAATGGAGCTGGTGAGGGGTCTGGAGCACAAGTCTTGTGAGGAACGGCTGAGGGAGCTGGGGGTGTTCAGCCTGGAGAAAAGGAGGCTGAGGGGAGACCTTCTCACTCTCTCCAACTCCCTGAAAGGAGGGTGTAGCCAGGGGGGGTCGGTCTCTTCTCCCAAGTCACAAGCGATGGGACAAGAGGAAATGGCATAAGTTGCACCTGGGGAGGTTCAGATTGGTTATCAGGAAAAATATTTACACTGAAAGAGTTATTAAGCCTTGGAATGGGCTGCCCAGGGCAATGGCGGGGTTATTAAGCCTTGGAATGGGATGCCCAGAGCAATGGTGGAGTCACCGTCCCTGGAGGGATTTAAAAGACGTGTAGACGTGCTGCTGAGGGACATGGGTTAGTGGTGGTTTAATGTTATATTGATGGTTGAACTCAATGATCTGAAAAGTCCCTTCCAATCTAGACAATTTTATCATTTGGTGTCTCCACTTCATGTCAGGGCAGTTGCAGGTGGGTTATTTAGGCACATTTCGGGGTCAGCTGAAAAACTGGCTCCTGCCTACTTCACCCGCCACGGGAAGTGGCTGAGGGTTCGCCTGGCTTTAGCCTGCCCCTTCTCACACTTGATGTGTTGCTTTGCAAGTGGATGGTCTTCACATCAAAAGATGGTGATCTTTTGGAGCAAGAGATGGAGACACAGAGTGCTCGGCAGGTGTTATTAATGAATATTATCACAGGTACTTTTTGGAGCATTTCAAACTCGGAAATTCCCTGGAGGAGAGTGAGAAAACCCCCGTGCTCCAGGTCCTCCGAGGTAATCAGAGCAGGGATTTCTGTTTCTAATTTCAGATTAGCACCACTTGTGAGCCAAATGTTTTCCTCTCCCTCCAAAATCCCTGGGGCTGCAGTTGAAGCCTTGGAAGGACTGATCCTGGCAGCATATTGCTGTCCCTATGCAATAATATCCAGCACCTGCTTGCCTGTTTTCAGTGGCTGGATTTTTCCTTGTCTTCTCCTGCCTAGAGGAGAGGGCCATCTCTAGCACCTGCTCCTCTTCCCTCAGACTGTGAGGGAAGGAGATTCTTTCCTTTAAGGGGATCTCATCAATAAGGCTTTTCTTTTCTTCATGCTCCATCTGATACTCTCAGGACAGACTCGTTAACTTTCTACAGCAGCCATCATGTCCCTTTTCTCAATATTCCTGTGGACCCTGATTTTCAACAGAGGATTTGTTGCTTTCAATTGCTTTCAGAGGTGATTCCTTTGGCTCCAGGTCCACCTGCTCCTCTTTGTATAAAATGAGAAGCTCAGGTCTTGTCAGAAGTACTGAGGGAAGGGATCACATCTTGGGATTGAAGATGAAGCAGTACAAAGTGTGGAGCTTGGCATTTACAAAGAGGAGAAGTGGAGAGCCCTTTATAAAGGGAAGAGCTGTCCTGAAGAGCAGGTGGGATAGGAGGGCTCTGATAATTGCAACATTAAGGTCTGGGTGCTAAATTAGTTTGATATAACTTAAGGGAAAAAGCTGAGAGGCAGCAGCAACATTGAAGCAAACACAGGATGGAAGAAAAGGAGAAAGAGAAGGCAGGGAGTGTAGAATTGGTTGTCCTGGTAAAGTATTCAAGGTGGCAAGTCATGTTTTACCTTGCTTGTGATCTGCTCATGTCTCATCCTCTAGGAGACACTGGCCCTTGTGCCCACGAAAGTTTAGCTTATTCAACTTAAAAATAGATGTCAAGCTGACATAGTTTCTTCACAAAGCTCTAGCAATTATATAGGGGTCTTAAATGGTGACTAGTGTTATAGGGGATGATACATACGTGCTCTTGCTGGAGAATTGCTGCATGGGTTTATGATGACTACAGCTGCCACAGCAGCTAAAAGCTTCAGAGGGCTGAGAGATATCTTCGCCCACCACCAGTAACTCTTTATTGATGACAGCTTTGCTGCAGATGAATGAAGAATGATTGGTGGACTTTTACAGATCTTGTAAAGAGAATGGCTTGTAGTGAGATGGAACAGGAGAATCTTTTATCTTATTATGGATTATTACCCATGGACTGGAAGGGTTCCAAGGCTGCGTCTCGCCTTCCCTGCACCCTCTGGTTCTCCTACAGCTTCCCAAGGAACTAGACACTGGTTTCTCCTTGCTTCTGACCTAATAACAGCTGTGCAGTAGGTGCTGGATTTGTTCAACCCACCCTTCTCTCCCCTTCTCAAGGAACAGTAATTTCCCACCTGGTTCAGGGAGGGCTTGGTAGCGGAGTTGTGGATATTGCCTTTCTATTTGCTTCCTGGCAAAGGTTTTTGAGAACCGTCCTTCAGCCTCAAAGTCGCTCTCTTTGGAGAACCTAGGGTGTGAAATGACAAGCAGGCTCAGGAAAGCAGCCTGAGGTCCCAAGGGTAGTTTTGTGTTACTCGATTATGCTTCTGAGTGCTCAACAGGGGGAAAATCATGGAAAAAACAAAACGAGCAGCCCTTTTCATGTGTCAGACAGAACAAGATGAGTGGGTACTCCATGACCTTAGGCCCAGCATGTCCTGTTCCTTGTCACGCCAAGGCTAAGGCAGACTTACTGGTTTTTCTTGCAACCCCAAGTGCTGAAGTGACTCCGTAAGTGTTGATTTAGGGTGAAGTAGAGCCCCTTAAGTGCTATTAAGTGCTCTAGTCCAGCTATTACCCTGCTGGGAGACTTATTCTTGGGCTCAAGTACCTGTGCTGTGCTAGGAGGAGAGACTCCCACCACAGCCCACCTGAGCACCATTCTAAAACCAGGAATAACAGCCATGGTGGCCTGGCAGAATGGACAGCAAAGAAGAATGAGAAGGCATGGAAATACATAGGCTGAAACATTTATGCAGGGTCGTTGTTTCTTACTGATCAAAACTGCTTGAGGATCTTAATCACCACTTGAAAACACTTAAATGGCTCCTTTTTCTCCTTGCATTTAGAAGAGGTAAATCCTAGCTTTGCTAGGTGCTCTGGGTCCCTTTCTTAGCATCAGGTCAAAGTTACAGCTCGAGATTCATGATAGTACTCTGGTAGGAATTATGTAGGAAAGGAAAAGGTTTCAACTGCACCTGCAGATAAAAGGTTTCCCAGCCATTTCCCCAGGAAATGTCAGAGTCCTTGGCTCTGTCAGCTCCTTCCGTTGTGACTTCAGCAAGGTAAAGTGAATTGGACTCCTGCGAGCAATCTTCTGGAAGAGAATGGATAGTGAAACTGGAGACTCTGAGGCAGGATGGAAACATCAATTGTAACACAAAAGCTAAGCTCCTGACAGTTGTTCAAGGTACAACAAAGAGGTTTTGTATCCGGCATGAGGAAGTGTGGATGGGCAGGGTGTTTCTGTGAGAAAGTAAAAGTAAATGGAATAACTGCTAAAGGAGGAAAGCAATGGAGACCCAAACAGGCTTAAGCTGTAGGGAAGGCAGTAACACAGCCATCCTAATGCATGCAGGTGTGTTTTCCAGAACTACCATGTGAACCCAGCTGAGATGCAGAATCATAGAATGGTTAGAGCTGAACCTTAAAAATCATCCAGTTCCAACCCCCCTGTCACGGACAGGGACAT